AGTCTTCCACAATCTGTGCCATTGTCAGGCAGAGAAACCTAAGCTAGATAGAACACTGCTCTGGCTCAGTTTGCTATCAATTAGGTTCTAAGGAATGAGGAAGCTGATGTAATAGTCCACACTGGCCATATTCCACTACCCCAACAATCTCGCTGTTGGTCGTTGCTAGGAACAGGTTCAGAACAGAGGGTGTATCTTGGTCAGAGATCACAGGGATTGGTAAGGGAAGAGAAGAACCAGTTGGACTTTTACAGAAAGAGGCTCCAGAGCCAGAATGCATATTTGATTTACTCTGGATAATCAATAAGCCTTTGTTGTTTTCACATGGTTGACGTGGGCATGGAACAAGCTCAGTTGTCAAAGATACAAAATACATTTAAACATTTAGCTCTAAATCTATGATCCAGTGCTTAGCACAGTGCCTGGCACATAGTAGGTGCTTAATACATGTCTGCTGATGGATTATTGATTGATCCTATGATTTGAGAGGTCTTAGTCTCTGAAATGGAGGAATTATGACATGAGTGACTAATTCTAACTTCTACAGAAATCATGGGAAAACAACAAATAGTGCTTACTCCAAAGTCAATGACGAAGGGAAATCTGTTTCACTTTTTATCAACTCTAAATTACTGTCACCAAGTAAAGCCCTTTTCTTAATAAGAACCTAAAGACCTAAGGAGCCAAGTGCATCACTCAACAGACTTCTGGCCATAGGAAACATTAATCATTAATTAAACATTAATCACTGAATGAATGAATCAATGAATTTTTTTGAGAAAGTATAACACATACTCAATCAGTAAGAAGAAGGCAGGGCTTAGAACACAGAAGCAGAATAATAAAAGATATAGCTAAGACGAAAGAAGTTAATTCATCTCAGATTGAGAATTCTCCTGCAAAATGGAAATAGTTTGGATGAAGTTTAAGGAATAAAATGGCCGTTACTATATGTGTATATTACCAAGATATCTGGCATGATTCACATGACACAAGCTTAGTCTGGTCTCTAGACCTTAATTTCACCATTTAAAAATGAAGGCATTTTAAGTTGGAGGAAGAGGAAGAAGAGGAAGGCAACAGATGTTAGCAGTAGCCCTAACAGACATAAGCTACTCTCCCATTTTGATGTTTCGGTGGGGTCTAACTAACAACAGGGGCAGCTAGGTGGTGCAGTGGATAAAGCACTGGGCTTGGAATTAGCAGGACTTATTTTCACCAGTTCAAATCTGGCTTACTAACTTTGTGACCTTGGGCAAGTCATTTAACCCTGTTTGCCTCAGTTACTCATCTGTAAAATGAACTAGAGAAGGAAATGGCAAAACATGCCAGTATCTTTGCCAAGGAAAAAACCCTGAAATGGGGTCACAAAGAGTCAGACGTGACTAAAACAATTCAACAAATCCAAGAACAAAAGTAATGGTTTGCTGGTAGCCCTAAACTAGCCCTTTAAAAGTTCAGCGTGACTATTAAGCTGAATGTGCTGGAAGAACAAAAGGGGAGACCTAAACGGTGACGCTGGGGAGCCTACATGGATAGGATTCCCCGTGTCTGCATTTCCCTGCACTATGTGTCTTTGGGCAAAGTCTTGTACATTGTAGGCACAAGATATACCAAAGGATGGGGCAATAATGATTCTGTGTAACAAGGTCCACGGCTGCTGTCGTCTTACCAAGGCTTTCTAAACCTGTCCCTATTCTCTTCATTGTGCCAATGTCAGAGGCAACGAACCCTCCTGAACACAGAGACACTAGATCAGTCATATTAAACTCCAACAGAAAAGGAGGCCACTAAACCCTATATAAGGATCTCTGGGGGCAGCATATTCACTTAGAAAACTCTATTAGACGAAACCAAGTTCTATTCCTAATTACATTTTAATCTGGTTCCTGCCACATTTGGAAGCACTGAGGACATGTAGATAAGAGGATTGCCTGGGTTCCTTCTCTAGTTCTGATTTTCTATATGGATGCTGTAGAGATGCTTTTTTTTTAAAATCCTAACAACGATCTCTTCTGCACTTTCATATGACAATTTTAAACGCTGAAAAAACTGATGTGCTTTTAAAAGGAAAAGAAAAAAATCCTCAAAAAGTCTGTTTTTTAAAAAATGACTACTGATTTACATTCTGCAGATGATTTTGTTAGATTTGCATTTTGACTGCAGGTTAGGGTAACTGGGGTAATTTGGGGTGAGGATTGCTCCTAGGATGTCCACTCTAACCTTTTGCTGCACTTGGCCTAGACAATTCCAAGGAGGACAACCTCTCCCAGGTCACTTTCACAACCATGGGGCTCCATCTCAACCTTGGAACCCATGGTCCTTCAAGAGAGCCAAGAAACAACTGGACTCATTAAAGATCAATCCCTGGCTTCTTAGGCCAGTCTAGAATAGGTTAAATCTTCCCTGTCTTCACCACCAACATTCCCCAGGTCATCTTCTTGCCCCACAACCTATATCCCAAGAAAAGAGATAAGCATTTGGTCAGGTTCTGGGATGCACAAGGGCTTGGCACAAGAAACAGCATACCCTTAGGTTTCACTGATATGTTCCCAAATGTGAACTCAGTGTGACAGTCAGCTCTATAAATGAGTGCAGTTAAAATTAGAAGCACAGGTAAGCAGTCTATAGAAAATTGCCCAGAATAATAACTCATATTTATATCGTATCTTACAGCTTATGCAGCCCTTTGAAATAGGTAGTATTAGTAATATTATCCACATTTTACATGGAAGGAAACTAAGTCTCACAACTACTGAGAAGCAGAAGAGGTCAGACTCAAGCCCTCATCTCCTGACTCCAGTTCCAGAATTCCTTTCATTACATCACACTGCCTCATTATAGGTTAGAATCAATTCTCCTCCATCTACCAGAAGATTCTTAATAATTTTTTTTTTCAAATTCCTAGTTACACATACAGAAAAGGCAACTATTCCATTAGGTCTCTGTTACCATAAAGAAGATTGGTTTTATATGCAGATAAAAAAGATGGACTCTGAACGCAGATTGTAGCATATTTTTTTCATTTACTTTATTCTTTCTCGTGTTTTTTTCCCCTCTTTGATCTCTTTCTTCTTTCACAACTGTGACTAATATGGAAATATTTTTACATGGTAGAACATGTATAAACTATATCAAACTGCCTACCATTTTCAGAAGAGGGGATTGGAGGGAGAAAAATCTGGAATTCAAAATCTTGTAAAAAATGAATGCTAAAAATTTTCTTGACATATAACTGGGGAAAAAATAAAATACTATTAAAAAAGATTGATTTTCACTCTATTCTTTCAACAAGGATTTAGTGAGCACATCTCAGCAGCTGCACAAGATGTCCTTTAAAAGGAAAACTAATAAAACCATTGCTAGGGAAGATGTCAACCAGTAGAAGGTGAGATGCCATTCTACCACACAGAAAGTACCTATCAGTAAAAGAGAGAGAAGGAACCATCTCTGCTTCAGGCTGATTCCAGGTGTCATCTAAAAGTTCTGCTCCCAAAATGCAGTGGAGAATAAGGGAGGTGGATGAAGAAGATGATCAACTTCTAGATTCTCAAGTCAGGACATTTATCATGTGACTGTATTATTTAAATGTGTGTGTGTGTGTGTGTGTGTGTGTGTGTGTGTGTGTGTGAGAGAGAGAGAGAGAGAGAATTCCCAGATAGCTGAAAGGACAGTAAGATGATAATTCACATTTTACCTTGGAAAACTGAATTTCTTCATTGAACATATCTCACATAATTAAAGAAAAGAGTCTAACTACAATCTATCCCTACCCCTAGGTTAGAACTAAAAATTCAGCTTTTCAAGCTGAGATCAAGAATCTTTTTGTAAGTTCCTAAAGCTTTATCACTCAGCCACCCAGTCAATGAACAAGTATTTACAGAGCATTTACGATATTTACAATACTATACTAGATACCACAGAAGAAATCCCTGTCTTCAAGAGGGTATTCAAGTTATTTAGAGTCTTCTTGGGCATAAGATTAACACATGTGAAAAAAAAAATTGAAAGTATACTAAGACATTGTATGATTAAGTCTAATACTATGCAGTACAGAAGTGTCAGAACAGTTAAGCAAATGCCGGAGACAGCCATGGACTGGAGTAGTCAAGGAAGGCTTTCTGGAAGAGATGGAACTTGAGATGAGCTTTGAAAGATGGCAAGGGGGGAACATGGAGAGCATTCCAAGCAGGGGAAACAGCATGAGCAAGGAAGCAGAGGGGCAGAACGAGCAAGGAGTAAGTGGGGACAGCGAGGACAGCAGACCCACCCAAGCAGAAGCAAGGGAACAGTTAAGAAACAAACTTGCATGGACACCATAGCTTTAGGTCACGAAAAGCCTTGAAAGCCAGGCAGAGGAGTTTAGGACTAATGTGGTTGGCAATTGGAGAAAGCCTCTATGATCTCAAGCAGAGGGATGATATGATGCAAGCAGTATTTTTGGAGGCAAGGTCACAAGACGGAGAGACCAGAGTCAGGGAAAGCAGTCAGGAGGATGTTGAGGTGACATCCAGGCATGAGACAATGACAGTCTGAATTATGGTGATGGTCACAGGAATGGAGAATAACAAATCTGAGACATGTTTGAAGGAAACAAAAGAATCTGATGGCAGATTAGTTCTAAGGGATGAAGAATCAAAGACAACACCAAGGTTTCTAGCATGGGAAACTAAAAGAAAGAATGGTGGTACCATGAACAAAAATGTTGGAGTTTGGAAGGAGGATTAGATAGGGAGGAGATAATGATTTTGGATTTGAAAGCGGGGAATTTCAAGCGATGGCATGTGATCCAAATGAAAATTGCTTTGAAGGCAGCTAGAGATGCAGGACTACAGCAGGACTGAAAGGTCAGGGATGTAGATGCAGATATAGACTTGGATTTATAAGCACAGCTGGTTTTACTTTTGGAGGAAATAAACCCTTCATATACTTACGTCCACTAAAAAAAAAAAGTTATTTCTTAGACTGTGACTGAATACTAGACTCCAGCATAAAAGTACCTGCACTCTTTCCATTTCTGGAAGATATCAAACTCCATTGCCTCAGTCTGATTTGGAATAAATCGGAACTCAGACACTAGTTCAGGCGTGTGCTCCGGAAGTTCACACTCCCCAAGTTCCGCTGTAATTTTTCAAAGGGAAGAAAAAAAAGAGAGAGAGAGAGAGAGAGATAATATTTAACAAGTTCAGTTACTACGATGACAAACTCCAAAGATACTATATGCAATTAAATCTGCTGTGCACCTTTTAAAAATATTACATAACCTCACTGGGATAAAATTTAACTCGTGAGCTTCACAAATACCTGCATGGAAACATATACATACCTTAAAGTCCACAGTAAATCTCATGGATGTACATTGTTCTGGCTTTCTCTTTTTATCAACTTGAAATGGTCACAAGGCACACACACACGCGCACGCGCGCACACACACACACTCACACACACACACACATTTCCCCCACCCCCAAATTCTATACCATGCAAATTCACCTTGGATTACATTTTCCTTTAGCGGGGGCAAAGTGATATTATAAAAACAAAAAGACAAAAAACAAAAAAACAAAAAACCCTGAACTTGAAATCAGAAAACTTGGGTTCAAGTCCTATCTTTGCCACTCATTACCTGTGTGACCTTGGACAAGTCACTTGACCTCTATGAGATTCAGTTTTCTTCATGTGTAAAATAAGGATTTTAATATATTGCTACCTCGCGGGATTGATTTCAGAATAAAGTGAGGCAGAAAGTAGCATAGAAATTCTAAGTCATTATGCATAATAATTCACGTCAAGGTACATTATTAGCATTCAACTGAAATGCCAACTGCTCACTAATACAAGTTTAAAATGGGACAGGGCCAGGATTTCTGCTTATAGTCCTATTAAAAATTGGTAAAGAATTTGGTGCATTTAGAAACTGGAAGAAAAAATAAATGTCATGACAGGCTGTGGAGTGAGAGAGAAGACCAGTGACAGTCTGTAGGAGTTGCTGCAGTAACTGAGGCAGATGGCCCGGGAGTGGATGAAGCAGAGGATGGGGTGATAACGGGTCATGCAGCACCTTGAGGAGAAAGGAGGAAGGATCACTGCAAGTACAGAAGCTACAAACAGGCACAAACCTGTGGGAGAGGGGAGAGGCAAAGCTCTGCACTGAATCTACTTGGCTGCAGCGGAAGAAGGGGGTGAGTATCAGCGACCAGTTACAAATGGAAACCTAGAAGCAAAAAGCGATCAGGAAGAAGCTGAAAAATAGAACAAGACAGTGGACGGTAGGCTTGAAAAGCTAGCTAAGGATGGGGAGGTGGCTGGGATTATTTTGTTTATTCTGTCTCCCTTTCAAGGTTACAGGAGGGAAAGAGAACTAGAGGAAGAGAGAGTAATGCCTATGCAGCTTTGGAGGGGTGAGGACGACAACGGGCCTTTTAACAGAGAAGAGCTCTTAGGAAGACCGACTCAAAAGGGAAGAGAGCAACAGAAGGCTAGGTAGGAGGGTTTTAATCAGGATAAATAACCAAGGAACACAGCTGTGATAATCTACTATCTCTTGAAGAAAGATATATGGTATAAGTTTCAGTTAAGGAGAAAAACAGGGTTATTTATTCATTTGGTGTTGAAAATGTAAAAGAAGAAAAAGGGTCAGGATGGTAGGAATAACCTCAAGGTGATTCTATGAAGCAGACCAAGGGTGGATTCCCCTGTACATTCTTTTCAGGAATGAAACAAGAGATAAGAGGGACTTTGTGATTTGATACATAAGACTCTGTGTTGTGTTAACAATCCTAACAAGCATAGTAGACCATTTAGGGGATTGGCTTGTGGGTATAAGAATGTGAAAATAATACTAGTGGAAAATAAGGAAGTCAAACCAGCTGCCAGTTACCTCTTGCTTAAAACAGAGGATAATTACAGTTGGCATAAGTACAGTGGAGACCACAGCATGCTCATGGATGGACCCATGGGTGCCATCCCCTAAAGCAGGTGTTTTGAGCCTGCATCGTGGCCACTTCCAATGGGTTACACTGGCTTAGTAATGAAGGACTTCTGCTTTGAAACAACAAAGAAATCCCTTCCCTGGACTTGACATCTGGGATGATGGGAGCCATCCCAGGTTACATGCATAGGGAAGGCTCCACGTTGTGGGTCCTTGCTAAAGGACATGAATGATCAGAATGGCTAGTCCCTTAGTCCTCGTGACAGGGATGGCTACAATCAAAGATGAAGGATGTTGGCTGATTTAAAATTCTTATCCTCTCTAGCCCAGCCTCCCAGGTTGACCCTGAACTCCTCAATTGTGGTTGTTAGAAGGGCCTAATCTAATTAATGGTATGCTTGCCCATCTTGAGATAAGAGGAATCTAGAAGATTTCAACTGAGTCTGGAAGAGTGCCGACGCCCCCCCCCCCCCCCTAGTAAACTACATAAAGGGGCTGGGAGGAAAGCTCCTCCCTCTTTCCAAGGTAGCCTCTCTGTTGGGATCCAGCCAATACCAACTTTCTGCGAGACTTCCAGTTGCTGTTATTCGTCCTTTGTTCTCAAAAAGGACCATGACATCACAGGAAGATGCCATGACTTGCCAGTGAATTGGATTTAAGTGAAGGAGGGCTATGTAGTCACCAACCTCACTTTCTCCTCCACAGCCACCTGGGTCCAGTGGCCAGATATAAATCAGGACGACTGGAGAAGGCTCCCCCTACCCCAGACTTCTGGTAGTTGGAGAGGGGATCTTTCTCCCCTCCCTTTCCTCTTGTTTCTTTCCATGGTCACAGCTGACCTAATAATGACCCTCACATGGATGTGTCAAGCCTTGGCAGCTCAAGAAGTCAGGAATTCTTCAGTGCTAACTTGCCACAGGGAGTGCTTCTGACTTCCTGAGCTCATGGGGCCAAGGCTAGAAATATCCGCCTCAGGCTCATTGGTCAGTCACCTGTATTTACAGAAAGAAACACAACAGAGAGACTCCTAAGGACTTGGGATCCAGTCAGGCAAGAACAAGTTCTCACTACCATCTTTGTCTGTCTGCCTCAGTTTCCTCAACTGTAAAATAGCACCCACATCATAGGGCTGTTGTGAAGATAAAATGATTGTAAAGCATCTAGCATAGTGCCTGGATTATAGTAGATCCTTAAATTCCTGTTCACTTCTCTTCCCCATCTCATGTATGCACAGTCACCATTGCGGGGGGGGGAGAAGATCCCCTCCCCAACTACTAGAGGTTTGGGGGAGAGATGGTATTGGCTGTGACCTAACAAAAGGGCCACCTTGAAAAGAAGGAGGAGCTCTTCTCCCCACTCCCTCAACTAGCCTAATATGAGTAATTTAGCCTATTAGCCCGCTTGAAAGGTGCCTTTTTTCCAGATTTCAGATGCCAATCATCTTTGACACAACCACAGGCATGAAAGGACCAATGAGGAGCTCATCATGCAGGTCGTTTTATAAGTGCCCAGAACACAGGCCCATCCCCATGCATGTTCCCTGAGATTGTTTCCATCATCCCAAAGGACTAATCCAGGTCCTTGGATGCAGCCTTTTGACTGAGTACAAGTATTACAGAACAAATCCTTTTATTAAGGGCTGCACTTGAGGGCCATGGGTGGCCTTGAGGCCGAAGGTTCCCCACCCTTGACTAGTCCATGAGGAAAGCTTGCTCATTCCAAAAACAGTGCAAAGCCAGAGCAGTACATGGGGCCCACTAGAAGAGAAACAGCATGCATGCCCATCCCCACACATGGACTAACGGATAGCCCAGGGTATGTGCAGAGCAGCCAAATAATTGTATCTCACCTTGGAATTAATAAAACAGAAAGGCAAAGAGAAGGACACCAATAAGTCCATTCCAGAAAGATCTGATCATTCAGAAGAATGAAAAATACAAGAAGGCAAAAAACGCTGATTTTAATTCAAAGGGGCATAAAAAGAAAAAAAAAATCAAAGTAGGAAAAGAGGAAATTCAAAGAATGCCTTGAAATTATCATTTTGAAGATAATGATTAAGGCTCCTGGGGCATAAGATTGAAGCTCCTATCTCAAGATGGGCTGAGCATATCATTAATTGGATGAGGCCCTCCTAACAATCTGAAGAGAGGAATGTGGGTCCAACCTGGGAGGCTGGAGTTGAGAAGATAAAAATTTTAAACAAGTCAGCATCTTTTAGCAGAACAACTCCTCTTCTAAATTATCCAGGGTCACAGGATTGCCTTGGCTTGAATGCTTTTCTAGTACCCTAGCTTCTTCCTCCTCTTTTTCTGAGTAATAAATGGGTCAAGGAGGCACAGAATTAAGTCCTTCTTGTGTCTACTTGACCAGATGTCAATTCCCCTTGTTCTGTGTCATCACTGCTCCATGGATGAGGTCTTTTTTTCTGGCAATGACTCAAGTTCAAGGGTACATCAAACACCTGAGGAACTATAGTTTTTGAACTTGGTCTCTAAAAGCAGCTACATGCAGACTTGGAGAGTCGGAAAGAGAGGGATCCATGCACAGACATCAATTCAGTTTCTCAGAGAGGACTGCACATATGTAGACCCTCCAGGGAACTATACCCATCAAGGAATCATACTGAAATTGAGATACAGAAGAAGAAAAGTAGCAGTCATTAGAGACAGGTAGAGGAAAAACCAGCATTGTATGGAGCTCAACCACAGGGAGTAAACAGATATCCACCCCCTCAATGGGACGCCACCTGGGGCAGTACTGTACATCATTTGGACTATGTAAGTATGTGAGGAGTAACTCACACTGGAGAACAGCAGGGGTGGTAAGGTATTTTGTGATTCCTTAGCAACTTCTCAGTTGCTTCCCCTTGGGGAATGGGCCCCTCCAAAGTAGTACTGCAAATCAGGAGGACTGTGTAAGTTCCTAGGAGATGAAGGCTCAAAAAAAGGAAATTTTCTGGATTCCTTGGTAACTTTAAATTCTTTCCCCTTCCAGGGAGGCCCCACTCAGATTAGCATATTTTAAGTCAGGAGGTAAAAGCCCCCCAGATGGGAGCTGCTTAACTCACCTACCAGCTCTGAGTTATTTTCCCATGTAGATGCTTGGGGAAGGCAAAGGCCTACCAGACAGAGAAAGGGTTCACCTTTGAGTCCTTTGTGGTTTTTGGAATGGATGAGGGTCAGGTTAAATA